AATTTTCGAATAAGATTTTTGGTTGTCACGTATCCATTATTTTTCATAAAAGATTTTCGGATGAGAATCTCGGTTCCCACTTGTCTTATTCCAAATAAATTTTTTGGATATTCATTAAAAAAAATTATAATATCAGATTTCAGATAAGATTTTCACCCTCTAAAATCGTGCCACGTGTCCCATATCAGATAAGATTTTCAAATATTTTTTAAAAATTATAATATTAGATTTCAGATAAAATTTTCACCATCTAAAATTGTGTCACGTGTCATCTCTATCTTCTGAAAATTTGGTGTGGAAAGTAAAAAATAGAAAAGTGAATAATGTGAGTGGAAAGTAAAAAATATTGGATTGAGAAGAAATTGTATGAAGATTTGGTGTGGAAAATAAATAAAATGGTTAGGTATTTAGAGGGAAAAAATACAAAAAAATTTGTATTTTTTCTATTTTTTAGCCAAAAAAACGAGGACCATCAGATTTCTAGAAAAAAAATTGATCGGAGCGTCTCGGTTGCGACACGTGGCACATGCACTTTTGGATTATGTCAGTGATGACATCACGCTAACGTCAGCGAGCAGAAGTCAAATGTTTTTACCGTTAGCGTGTGAAACTCACGCGCCAACGATTAAAAAAAAATTGAATTACCGTGCGCTGACGTCACAGCCCTCGGGCTGAAGCCCAGACGAAACCTGCCCTTGGGCTTGCCAGGGCTAGTGGGACCCAGCTTTTGCCCTGGCTGGTGGGACCCAACTCTTGCCCGAGCTTGGTCTCTCGCGCTGGAGGGTGTTTGGACTCGCCAGGGGGGCCTTTTCCCTGAGTTTGGTGCAGTGGTGGAGCTGCTCTTAGGGTGTTGTTAAATGAATCCTAATTTTTTTTAAAATTAGGGTGTACTCAGTTAATTTTAGAGTTCGTTTAACAGTACCCTTTTATTATGTACTAGCCTTTTCACGCGTGAGAACAAATCTTATTCTTTTTACTTTCCTATTGCCTTTTTATAAAATATATATATATTTATATTTATATTTGACTAGACTATTGTGTTACATATTTGTCTTTTGAAAATGAAGTCGTTACGTTTGAAATTTTTTTCTGAGAGGAAATCTTGCCGTTTTGACATAGAACAAAATGTGTATCATTAAGTTCCAAACTTTTGAGTGTTTGATGATCAATTCCTAATCCTAATATTGATTTTATTTAATTTTTTTTGTTTACACACAAAACCCTAACCGTTAATAGAGAGAAAGCTTCAGATCCGGACCTCTGAATCTCGTCGGATCTTCGATATTCTTCGGCTTTTGGTGGACCTATGTTGATTTCCTCTTATTTTGGCATATCTATTGTATCAGATCTTGGTCGGCTTTGGTTATACCTCATCTTGCAAGGTTGCGGTGAGGGCATGGAGTAACTATGTGGCGATTTTTATGTCATGTCTTGAATGACGATTAGTGGCGGTTAGTTTTCCTTTTGCCTAGCTTCTTTTGCATGACTTAGCTTTTTTATTTTGGTTTAGTTTGTTCAATAAATTCTAGAAACTCTATGAGTTTTTTGTATTTTTCTCTCATGATTTCAGAAACATAGTTTAGTTTGCTGGATGTGTCACATCCTGGGATGGGCTTCGCCGTAACACGATATTGTTCGCTTTGGGCCCTCTTCTCTACCCTCACAGTTTTGTTTCTGGGAACTCACGAGCAACTTCCCAGTGGGTTACCCATCCTGGGATTACTCTAGCCCTCAACTCGCTTAACTTCAGAGTTCTCATGACTCCGAAGCCAGTGAGCTCCCAAAAGGCCTCGTGCTAGATGGATGCGGGTGTGCACATATAAGACACATCAACCCCTCTCCGTTGGTCAATGTGGGATCTTACAGAATGCTTTTAGTCTCTTTAAGAAAGTCATGCTAGTTGGCAGTTAGTTTTTGTCATTGATGTCATTTGACTAGATTTGGAAAAATTATGGTGGTTGGAAGGGATTATGAAAAAGTTATTTTCAATAGTGATTCTTTCAAATCGTTTCAGCTTTTTAGTTGGCTCATGTCACTGGAGAAGTTTTACCCATGTATGTCATATGGTTATTGGGATTTAGGTTTTGATGAATAAAAGAGAAAGGGTATAGGAAGATTTCCTAGCTATCTTAGTGGCAAAAGAAAAATAGAGAAACACTAGGCTGTGATATGGGATTTGATGATTGTGGTGCTGGTGGCGATCGATGCTAGGTTTCAATCAAGTCGCTTCAATTTACGGCATCTAAATTGCGCAAATAATCATTATTTTTATTTTTTATTTGTCATTTTTTTAAATATAAAATCCTTCTAATTATATTTGCTACAGGCAATGCAATATTTTACGGATTAATATTTACTTAGTTGGGCTGAAATATACTAACCTTGAAAATTAACTCCTTTTGGCAAAAATTACAAAATTAAAAATTGACTCATGGGGTTTCTATGCTTTAGCTATAATCAATGTTGTTTTATATTCTTTCGCAGTTAGTAAGAATCGTTCTCTTTGCTGTTCATACTTAAGTTCGAGTCCTGTTGTAAACAATATCTCTTTGTGCGTAATTGGTAAAAACCCCAAAAAAGGCTAAGAACCCCCTCTATAAGTCCTTAAAGAGGCTTGAGTTAGTATGCCCTGACATGGAATGGGATAGCATCCTCTCCCATTTTCCCCTTAAACTTTTCTTCATTAAATAAAAAAGGTTTTAAATTCTTCTAAAAAAATGTTTTATATTTAGTAAATCACTTAGATAAATATGAACAAAATTAAAGCGAAGGATCCAGTTCCAGTTCCGTTGCATGGTGATGGTGGTGTGCTTATTTTTTTCATTTTTTGGTTACATTGGGAGGAAAGAAACCCCTTGGGGTTTCGAACCTGGGTGTCAAAGCAGGGGGAAGGGGAGGCCACCACTGTGGTACCTGCTCTCGACTGTGCTTATTTATTTGGGAGTTTCACTAAAACACCCAAAATGGGGATTGAAATTATAAAAAAACCCAAGCACTATTTAAACATATAAACACACCCAAAACTCATCATTACACACACTCAAAACCTATTTATAAACACACCCAAAAAGTTGACTTTGGGGTTAATTTTGGGTGTGTTTCTATGTTTAAATAGTGCTTGGGTTTTTTTATAAATACATGTCTAGGATTGGATTTATTTATAAATTTGTATATTTTTTTTTCACTTTCGGTCGACAATGCATATATGCATGGTGGTGTAAAAAGAATAGCAATGGACCAAATGGTTCAATGGACGGTAAAAGTAAGCTGCAGGCTCAGCCCAATTACACCAAAGCCTTGACAGGCCACAACTCGAGAAAATGGGCCTCGACAAACCCATAAAACAGAGTAGGCGAGAAAAAAAGAAGGGCGTGCCATACTCGTATCGTATGGCTGAAACACGAACAAACAAGAGGAAAATGGGAGACAGAAGAGAAGCTGATTCCAGCAAAACAGCGTCAAAGTGGCCAACCATCAAAACAAAACCAAATCTTCAGATAACTTGCCTTAAAGATACTCATCTCTTTACTGTAAGAACTGCAAAAAGATTGCATCTTTTTTGAAATTCAGTTTTTCTTCTGGTATTTTGGCATATGGGTTCTTCTTAGATGGATATATTTTCTCTAACCATTGAACATTTACGCGTCTGCAAGATATTAATTGAGTCATGGTTGTTAATAGTTAGGCAATGTATTCAGGTGCAGAATTTCCTCATATCTGCAGAATCAAAGGCTTTCGTTAAAGCGGCAGAATCTATTGGGTTTGTTCACCAAGGGAGTCTTGGCCCAACAAAAGGCGAAGCTTATAGAGACAATGATAGAATCTCTGTGAATGATCCTGTTCTTGCGGACACAATTTGGGAGTCTGGTCTTGACAAATTATTTTCTGATATCAAAATTCGAGGGAAGGCTGCTGTTGGCTTAAACCCAAATATCAGATTCTATAGGTTGGTAATCACATTCTGTGAACACGATCGAACCAATTCAAAAGCTATTTCTAACTTTGAGCTGGTCCATTATCTGATTTCATTCATTAAGGGACGTGGATTTTACTTCTTTGAGAAATTCTTCTCTGATTACAAACAAAAATAGAAAGGTTGAATTTTGTTGGCTTGTGCACCTTGAAACTTAATTATTTTGGTTGCCATGTGTTTTCAGGTACAAGGTTGGGCAGCGCTTTGGAAGACATATTGATGAAAGTAATGATCTTGGAGACGGAAAACGCACCCATTATACTTTGTTAATATACTTGAGTGGCGGTTTCAAACCAAAAGCTACAAATGATAAGAGCAGTCCTAAGGATTCTTCCTCAGAGCCTCTGGTTGGAGGAGAAACTGTCTTCTACGGTTCGAGGAATACTGTTGTGGCAGAGGTGGGTTCTGTTTTTGGTCATACCATATTGCTTTTATTCTCTATTATTCCCTTTCATTTTTATCTTCAACTTTGTTCATGAATTAAAATCTTCTCTCTTTCTTGAATTAGTTTTATCGGAGCGTTTTATGGAATATGCAGCGCCTGTTAATCTTACTTAAAAATTCTGTAGGTGCCTCCCACTGAAGGAATGGCTCTTCTACACATTCATGGAGACAAATGTTTGTTGCATGAAGCTCGAAACGTTACTAAGGGTATCAAGTATGTTTTTCGTTCCGATGTAGTATTTGCTTGATGTGCTAAGTGCTTGATCGTTATCTGATATAAGCATGTAAAAGCTGAAAGCCTTCTTTAGGTTTCTCCATAACTGAAAAATGTAGTAGCAGAAATGTGTATTCTCTTCACAAACACTGCTTCATTTTTTATCTGGAATTTCTTTGTTCTTAAGATATTACATGCTTCCAAAGAAATTCACTTGGAATTCCAAGAAGCAAAAAGAAATAGAAAAAAAATGTAAAAGATAGGATATATCTATCGGAATACCATTTGTCTTCTGGCTGATAGACCAGAAAAAGAAGTAAATGTAAGTACATTCTTCACTATAGAAGAAAATGTTATTTCTGTTTTCTTACTACATTAAGAGATGATAGAACCAGAGTACCAGATCCTCCGCACCTCCTCTGGGCGATATAGGCTTATTTTTCTTTTCTTTGACAATTCTTATTTTAGTGAGGTAGGAAAGAACTTCTCTTGCCTGGTGATATATGTGTCTGATGGGTGGATAATCTCTGTGTGCGATATAGCGGATTGGTAAGGAATACAATGGAAGCACATTGTAAATTACCAATGGGGATTTCACCACATGGTTTCCATTTTTCCATGTGATAGAACCTGATATGATTGGAACCTGAGTTATGTGTGGTCCATTGACATCCACACGGAACGATTTCTTCTCTCCAACATCAGTGAATGAAAGTACAGATGGTTCCACATTAACCTTTATAGAATCAGGCATGACAATGCTGACATTGTAGGTTGAGTTGGGTTCACCAACATTTGTAACAGTCCTATGGAAATTGCCCTTGATCTCATGGCCATCTTCTACAGCTAGAGAGAAGGAGGGGTAGTTGAGGTCCCATGCCCTAGCAGGTTTGATGCCCCGGCAAACACTTTTGTCACCTGTAAGTTTTCTTACTGTGGTGGTGTTGTAGCTTTGTTTGCAAAGAAAGTCAACATAAAATTTCTCAGATGCATCAAAAACTAGCCCAGGATCAACTGCCTTGGTTGGGTTGAGGAGACCCGACCCGTAAGCAAATTCTCTTTCATTTTCGTGCTTTTTTGGGTCCACAACATATGCTGTATTGGGAAAACATTAAGGTGTGTAAAGAATTTAGGAAATCAAAGAGTAGATTGTTTGACATACCTGTGGTTGAGTGCAGATTTCATTGCTGTAGGAGACCAGCGTGGGTAAGCAGCCTTCACAATGGCTGCTGCTCCGGTTACGTGTGGGCAAGACATTGTGGTTCCAGAGTCTACATAGTATTTGACACTCCTTGTGTCCTCACTGTAAACTGAAGCTCTTCCAACCGGTGACCAAGCTGCAAGGATATTTACACCCAGAGCAATCAGATCAGGCTATTAATTTGATTCCAGAGATCAAATTGTGAGAGTAGATATAAATTGAAAGTAGTTTATAGGGCAAAACAAAGCAATACTTTACCTTCAGAATATCAGGCACCATTAGGTTAGGTCATCTGGATGAAAAAGAGGGCACATATGGTGCATATAGATCCTTCCATGTTTCACTAACTAGAATAGTTGCCTCTGGATTCCTGAGGTTTTAGTGGTACAAAATAAGAACGAGTACCGAGTTATATATGTTTATAAAACTTTCCATAGGTTGATCGGTAGTTACAGAGAACAATTTTCCCCTTTATTTTCTGTGAATAATCCAAATCTCCAGCATTGCAGTATTTTGATGTTTCGGAGTTTGCATTGACTGGATGGTTTGAAGCATCTCCTCCCCAAATCAAGGGGAACATGTCTCCTTTAAGATCAAAGTTATTGATAGCACTCCCCTTTGTATCATCAAGAAATCAGGGGCTTGTTAGCTTGAGAAAAAAGTTTTAGAGATGAAAGTTTCTTGGACGACAAAAGTTAGAGTAGGGTAGATAAGAATTGCTCACCATGAAGGTTTTTCCATTTCCAAGAGCCAATTGAGTCACAAACTTCCTGTCAATAGTGCTAGCTCCCACAGTAAGTAGCCACGGTGAGACATTACTGATAGGAGCACACAGAGGTCCATAGTTCCCTGCAGCAGTTATGGTCAAAATCCCTTTCTTTAATGCATGAAAGGATCCAATTGCAACTGGGTCGTCTGTGAAGGTGTAAGCTGCAGACATCCCAAACGAAGCTGATATGATGTCAACTCCATCAGCAATTGCATCATCAAAAGCAGCCAAGATATCTGCAATGCTACATCCCATCGCCCAGCAAACTTTGTACACAGCAATTCTTGCATTAGAAATTCCACCCCTTGCAATTCCTTGAGCCAAGCCAAAGACACTTGCTCCTGCCACTTCTCTACCTGCTTCAATGGAGGCTGTGTGAGTCCCATGTCTGACTGAGTCCCTCAGAGGTATGATGTCGGTAGTATCGTAAAAGTTTTGGCTATTATAGTATCGCGCTCCGATGATTTTGCTGTCAAAATGTTGTACATTAGATTAGTTTCAAACATAAGGACAATTAGTAAGAAGGCCAAACTGGAAAAAGGGTTTGTTTCTCACTTGTTGCATGTGAAAGTTTTATTAGTATTGCACGTTCCTTTCCAATTTATTGGTGGAGGGCCAAATCCTTTGTCACTGAAACTCTCTGATTCTGGCCAAATTCCTGAAAATTAACTCTAAGCTTTGGAATTTGTGATTAACAAACACCGAAAAACTGAGCCTGAAAATGATTATTGGGTGTCAAGAGTTTTGTTTGATGTTGGTGATCATCACCTGAATCCATCATTCCAACGATTTCATCTCCCTCTTTTATATGCTTGACATGGGACGGAGATAATCCCGGGAAGTCCCATGATCTTGTTGTATGAAGCTGCAGCAGTGCATTACTGGGAGACAACGTCTTCCATCTCTGTAAATGAATGTGATTTTATCAGAACTCAAAATAATATTCACAAATAGTGACGCTTTTAATTGTTTATGTTTACTTCACCTCCTAGTATTGTAGCTTCTTCATCTAAAAATTTAGCTACAAATCCATTAAAACTCCTGCTATAGCTGTATATCAGCGATTCCCTTGCAGCTAGAGTACTGCACGATGAAACAAGTACGTCATAAGTCTTAATATATATAAATTATAGATAAATAAATAAGTGGTATTTTTTTATACGAAAATATACTCCATTAAAAAACAATGAAACAGTACAGTGCATGTTAACATGTGGTTTGAATTGAATAATCTTCCAAGAGCAGTTTCTAGCACGGAACGATGGGCAGATTGTTGCTCTGTCTGAAGCCTCATAAGCACTTGGGTTTCTCCAATGGATACAACATAGACCTGCATTGATTTGCCACAACTCAACTTCAGCTCATTAGAATGGCAACCACTAAACAAAGGAACTGAAGAGAAGAAGATCATTTTTTGATCTATCCATTTCTTTCCTCAGAATCACAATTGATTATTAGGAGGAGAGCTGCAAATGAAAGGTAGAGAAAAGTGATAAGAAGCGGCTTGGCCATTTTTAGCTATGAATGAATGCTTGATTCAAAGCGGCTTGGCCATGTAAAAAATAAAAATGGCCAAGCCGCTTCTTATCACTCCCTTGTGCATGCTTCAGCTGCTTAAAATATTCCTTCCTAGTCCACCTTAATCTGTTTTTTATTGCTGCTCTTGCAGAGTTGAAGATGATGAACACCGTTTCTCCAAATCCTTAAGGTGACTTTATTTAATTTGGTGTCGTTTTCCAAATTAAATGAGTATATTTCTTGGCAGAGGAGAGCGTGCATCTGTGGCTTGGCTTGGCCATGCTTATAATTTGGGTTTTTCTGCCTCACTGGATTTCAAGTTTATTTATAGTTGGCAATTTTGAGATGAAGTATTAGACAGAAAGTTTCCTCAAATGGCTTTTTTCTGCTGCGTATCACTAATCACACATTGCCATTTTGTTGTTTTCGGCTATAAAAAATTATTTACTCTTCTTCTCTTACATATAAAAAATGTGTGCGAACTATGTGAATTAAAGTGATCGCCCTCAGTGTTCGACCAAACAAAAAGAAAAATAAAAAACTGTGATCGCTCAGGGGAACCTACCTAATCTTTCTTTCTTTCTTTTTTTATTATCATTAATTACAAAGTGAATTCGTGATTATTTCTTTAATAACAAAATTTGATCCTTAAAAAACATTGGCCTTTTAAAATGTGAAAACTTTGGATCTATACATGAACAAATAGCTAATCAAACTTGATGGAATTTTAATTAATTAAAAATTAAAGGATCGCAATTTAGAATAGTTTAGACTGTAGATTATATAAGAAAGAAATAAAGGACGTAGTACCGAATGGTCACCTTCTTTTTCTCTCTCTACATTCAAGATTATATCAAAGGCTTACCCATATAGTATAAGGTAAATATCCTTGAAGAGAGTTTCGTGTCACTAACCATTGTTGGGTTACTAAGCATTTTCCTTTTATTTTATTTTTTAAAACAAGAAATCAAAGTTACATAATTGGTTATCAAATTGGGAACAATATAGTAAGAGAAAAATCTTTGGTTTATTACTCACTCACTCTCTCTCTCGTTCTCTCTCTCTGATCAGTTCACCACTCGGCAATTCAGTCTCACTTCACCATCCTCAATCACGCCAACCTTTCCAAGTTTCACCATAGAAGCTGCAAACTCCTTAAAGAACAAACTTTGATCCTCAGCAAATGATTCAACAATCCATCTAGTCCTGTAATCACTAAACAACGCTTGATCCGATCCAAACACGCCCTTTCCAGCCACTACATGCTTGTAATAATCATTATCAAAAGTTGAGGAAGTTGAGTCCAACAACTCTCCGGCAGTGCGATCCCTGTTTGGTTTTGGGCATTTTTTTCGTAGCTTTTGAGCAAATTCATTGTTCATGCTTGGATCAACATCATGCAATGAAGTAAAATTTCGAAGCCGGGATTCAAAAGAAGAACAATGTGAGAACCCAAGAGTGTGGCCGCCAGATAGGGCAACCAATTCTTTAACACCCAAGCCTCTCTTAGCAAAGCTTTGGATCAATTGGGATACGTTGAAAGTTGGAGCTGGTAAGTTGATGGTCTCGTTAGCTCTTGAAACCCTACCATCTTTCCTCCCTTTTAGCACATTCCAGTAAGGACCTCCGGACTATCAAGAAATAAATAATGTACATATTATTCTTGTATACATAAACATTTGTCAGCCAACACATAAATATAGTAACATAAACGTACGGGACGTACCATGGTAACTACGTCTCTTGCGGCAATGCCAATGATATCAGCACAAGAAACAGTGCGTGGACATGCCATTTCTAGCTTAGCTTTGGCATCGTCGATCACGTAGAATGATCGGACTGAGATATTGGGAGGACCATCTTTTTCTGCTTGGTTCCCTGGGGTTGAATCTAGCAGCAACGATGCATCACATCCCTAAGTAACCAGAGAGAGAGAGAGAGAGAGAGAGAGAGAGAGAGATTATACCCTTATGAAACAATCATGAAAGAACATCCTTAAGATACGAGCTGGGATTTTAGAGTCATGCATGGAAGCGTTATATACCGTCTGCAATATGATTTTCTCAGCTTGTGGACACGTTTGATGATAATAGTTGGAATTGAGCGATGTTTTTGATTGTGAAGCCATAGTTAACAGAAGACAGATTAATGTGTGGAACAAGATTGTTTTTGGTGCATACATTGCCATTTTGCTAGGACAAAGATACAAAATTCACAAAACCAAGATATGTTAATTCGAGTGTGCTGAGAAATTCAATGGAACCAGTATATATAGTGATTTTAATAACAAGTATATACACATTTCAGGAATATTTTGTGTACATTATATATTGATCGTACTTTCAAGTTACTCAATGGAGGAACAACCTCAACCTGTATGTACTACAAAATTGACCTAGAGCTTTTGGCCTGTGATCCACCTAATTATTTGGGCTACCTAAGCTATTTTTCTAGTAGGATCAACGTCTAGTTGATTGATTCAAATTGAAGTATTCCAACTTATGAATGTAAGAGAAGAAAGATGCAAAACTCTCATTGTTACCATTAAAGTGACTGTTGGCTTATATCTATCAAGTTTGGTTATGCGTGGGGTTGGTGAGAGAGAGTACAACATTTTGGTACTGCAAATTACATTATATACTAGACTATTCTTTTTTTCTCTTTTTTCTTTCCTGATGGGAATTGGGCAGCTTCTTATTAATTTCTTGAGACTCACATACCTATATCCTAATTCAAATGCAAACAAGTTTAACAAGAAAATAAGGTATTGAAGAGGGTGAAGTTGGACTTGAGATTCATTTTTAAATATCAAGGACAAAGCCTGTTTTAGGAGCCTCAAGACAAAAAAATTGTTTGTATATATCATGACTTGTCAAATTCCATATCTACAAAAAAAAAAAAAAAAAAAAAAAAAAAAACTTTTCTCAAGCAAATTTCTTGTGTGTTAATTGCTACATTAAAAATCAGGAAATTTAAAAGAAAAATAAGGAAATGAAATTCTTGGAAAAACATGAAACAGTATGTGACCAAATCTGATATCATTCAAAAATACGACAATTGCTCACGAACGTGTGTGTGAATGGCTGTCAATTGTTGATGTAAGTAGATTCCACCACATCGGTTACTTTCTTTAAAGAATCTTATGCGTGGGATGTGTGGGGCCCACAAGTGGATAAGGATGACTTTTGAGGGTTCTTGATGATGATTAGGTGGCAGGACATGATTAGTAATACTCATCATCAAATGGACCGCGTTGCAGGCGATCACCTCTATGTAAGGCCCAATCCGGAGGTTCCGAACCCACAAAATCACACCGAGAGAGCAAATCACACTAAGTTTTAAAAAACGTACCTTCTTAAACAAAATAGGACCCATCACGTGTCACCATCTCCATGGCCCATGATGTGTGTGAAGATTCTCGAACCGTTGATAGGACCCCCATCAGCTATAAATAAATAAATAAAGCGCTTGAGGGTCCCCCTTGGTGTTGGTAGGGCTCGCTCGCAAAGAGAAAAGAGGATAAGTGGGGCTCTTCTGATTCTCTAGGGTTTGTTTCTCTCTCTCTCCTTTCTCTGTTCCTTGATTTCATAATTGTTTTACATTACCAACCATTTTTGTTTTTGTTTTTGTTTTTTTTAACTTTCTATTTGTTCAATTAGTCCCCTTAGTATGAACAGAGATTCAAAACCCAGTCAAAGTATCATGCCCTGTTCTTGCTCTGCTTCTGCAGCTAACCCAGATTTACTGATTTTAAATTCGTGAAATTTCCTCGTTCTTTTAGCTTGTTTTCGTGTGATTTTCTCTGGGTTTTCTTCTGCTTTCCAAAAATTTCTGAGTGTCGCTGCGATTCTTGAAATCCAACAGATTTTTTCTCTGAGACTTTCGTTGAAGATGGAACCGAATCAAAGGCAGAGCCTTGAAGAAAGCAACGAGCTTGAACAGCAGAGCAATAGCAGTAGCAACGACAACAC